GACCTCTTTAAAGTATTGAAAAGCAAGGATAGTACTTTGAGAACCCAAGGTGTGCCTGGCCCAAGCCATGGTATTTTCAATTGCCTCATATGCATGCGAAAGTTGGACATTGAATAAAGAAGACCAAAGAAGAATTGATGCATTTGCATATGGTGCTGAAGATGACATTGAAAATACCATGGGCTACTAAAAAACAAACAAGCCTGTCTTGGAGAAACTACAGGCAGAATGCTCCTTATAGGCAAAGGTGGTGAAACTTTGTGTCATGTACTTTGGGCATGTTGTCAGGACAGACCAGTTCCTGGAGAATGACAGTGCTTGGTAAAGTAGTGGTCAGTGTAAAAGAGGAAGAACTTCAACAAGATGGCTACGCTGATGAGCTCAAACTGAGAACAATTGTGGGGATGGCACAGGACTGGGCAGTGTTTCCTTCTGTTAGACATGAGTCACTATGATTCGGGGAGACCTGATGGCACCTGACAACACTCCATGAGCTTGCAGCCTTCTATCTCACATTCCCACCTTGGTTTACCGGCCAGTTTTGCCATGTGAGTGGGAAGAAGCCTTCTGACTGATGTCTGACCCCCAACTTGATCCTTGCCAGCCTCTTCAACTTTGTGAGCAATTTCCTGGAGAGAAATCTCTCTCTTTTGGAGAGAGAAAAATTTATATATAGACATAAACAGAGAGCTATGTAGATTTGAATTTTATAAATCTAGTTTGTTTTTCTTCTCTAAATAACTCATCCTAGGATGGTTGCCCCCAAAAAGTAAGACATTGGAATGAAGAATGGCTACAACTTAACCTTCTCTTGCTCTCCCCCATCCACAACCTTCCGGAGCCCTTTGTGATGTCTGGATTTTAAAGCTGGAGTGATGAGGTCACAGTTCTGTGATGCAGACCCGGTAGCGCCCAGTTACTTGAAAGAAGCAGTTTAACTGTGACCATGGAGAATTACTTCTTTCCTCTGAAACGCTTTAGTGCTACCTGGATCAGCTCCAGCTCCACTTCCTGGGTCATTGAGACCATCCTGGGCTTCCTGTGTGGAGTGGGGCTCTTCCTCCTATTACTCCCCTACCTCCAGAGTAATCCATCCCACTCAACGCCTAAGAAAGATATAAATAACAAAAAGGTATGAAACCTTTGGCCTCAATAAAGGCTCTATTTTCCTATTTCCTTTTTCCCAATCAGATAGGCTCTTGAGGTGGGAAACTTCAGGAACAAATAGAATACTAACTACTCTACTTAAAATAGTCCAGATAGTATTGGGCACTATGATTTCTACCTGAAGACCTAAAGCGACCTACGGTGTATGGTAGAAGACCCCAAAGAAAATCTGAAACACAGTGAGCCACTGGACAAGGACTAGATTCCTAAGTATTTGGGAGGTCAGAGACCTCAGCACTGGATCATAAGTCACCTTCCTGTGTTAGGTATTTCTGAGCCAGAACTTTCCTTTGGGTGAGGGCTGATCTGAAAATTGCTGCTGGCCCTGAGAACCTCTAATTGGGGGGTGGAGCAGAGGTCTGGCTTTGGGAACCAGAATCTTTTCCTGATAGCACAGAGACACCTATAGGTCTGAGTTTGTTACCTTGTGAGCAGAGGAATGGTGACTGAAGGAATTCAAGCTAGTCTCACATAGAAAATATTTTTTTGTGTTTCTAAAGAAGGAAAACAGAAAATGTTTTTTATCCACTGTGTTGTAGTTGTTAGGTGCCAGCCAGTTGGTTCTGACTCACAATGTGACCTTATGTACAACAGAACGAAATACTGCCTGGCCCTGCTTCATCCTCATCGTTGTTCCTATGTCTGAACCTATTGTAGCCACCATGTCAATCCATCTCCTTAAGGATCTTCCTCTCCTTCACTGTTCTTCCACTTTACCTAACAGTGTCCTTCTCCAGGGCGTGGTCTCTCCTGACCACATGCCCACAGTATGTAAGACAAAGTCTTGCCATCTTTGCCTCTGAGGCGCAGTATGGCTTGGCTTCTTTCAAAACAGATCAGCTTGTCTTTTCAGTAGCCCACGGTACTTTCAAGATTCTTTCCCAGCACGACAACTCAAATGTATCATGTGTTCTGAGGTCTTCTTTGTTCAATGTCCAACTTTCATTTGTGAATGAAGTGATTGAAAAGACCATGGCTAGGGAACAACAAGTAATCTAAAATCTATGGCAAGAAGGGTAGAGGATGCCGGACAGGACTTGGGGCAACGTTGCTGAGAAGAATTACTGAAACCCAAATGAAGACTAAACATGATAGTGGTGCAAGAGGAAAGTAAAAGGAAATAGAGGAAAGAACTAGGAGGCAAAGGACATTTATGGAGGTCTAAATACAGACATGTA